TACTACATTTTTCATATAGGATTAGAATAGTACTAAAAATTTCCAACCTCTACAAAGCCGGTGGTAAAATAATAGTTACATTGTTAAAAAATTATTAATAAAAATAGATTTAATTTACCTTTCCTAACCTTTTGCATTATTAATGTTAGGTCGTAGATGTTCCTAAGCTTAAGATATGCATTTTATCCTTTTCTTATATCCACTTCCCTTGCATTCTTATGTGTAAAAATTACAATAATAATAAATTGCTTATTTTAAGTTTCATTTGTATTGAATTTATAAAAAAAATAAACCAATCAATTTTGTTTATTTTCTTTTGTTTTCTTTAGTGGCAGCATCAAATTTTGGTGATTTCTTTTACGCTAACAGGTACAATATTGTAGTAATAGAAAACATAGTTATGGTTATACTAATTTTCTAATGATTGTTTCTTGAAATTGGTTTCTTTTTCTACAAACTTATTCTTTTAAACAGAACAAAATTTACATTTTTAGTTAATTCTAAGTCTTTTAAATGAATGTGCCAGTTGTTTTTCAACTATTTGCAACCCATTAGTTTGTTTAGTATATCATCCTACTTTCATGTCTTCATGTTACCATTATGCTTCCAAAAAATACAATCCCTTTATAGAAAAAAATGAAAGTAAGATGCTATAATACGTTAATGATTGAAAGTGATTGCTTTATATTTCTTCCCCGTGGTGTCCACGGGTTATAACCTAGTGTTTAAAATATTTTAGTTGGGACGTGGAAAATTTTCACCGGTATAATCGCTTCGTAACTGGTTATAGCGTTTGTGATACTTCTTAACACATATTTTAATGAATCTTAAATTTTTTTAAAAAAAATTGCATTAAGAGACAAAAGCGGCTATATCACTGTGCTTTTTAAACAGTTTCATAATCAGTCGGATATCATTGCGTTTTTTAAACAGTCTCATATTCTGTCGAGTTTAAAAAATGGACAATCGGTATAACCCATCTTACTTTATAGGACTTGGACCGGATCTTTTTAACGTCCTGAGTCCAAGTCGGTTAATCGTTCTCTGTGCACATCTCTACATCACAAATAACTCAAAAGACAAAGATCATGATAGTGAACAACAAAAGGCATGAATGTGTATTTTGAACTTTAATTTCTTTATAATTGCTTGTGAATAGCATATAAAAGCATGCATAGCAATGCCTGACATATGACTTCTCTATGTTTATGTGAGAACTCTTGAACTTAAACATAATGAAAATATATCTGTAAAAGGGTTGATATAAGGATATAAAATTACCTTTTTTCAAGTAAATATTACATTTCTTTTACACTCCTTAAAAGGGTTTACAAAATCTTGAACAAAAAACTCAATATATATATATATATATATATATATATATATATATATATATATATATATATATATATATATAAAACACTAACTCAGATCTACTCCTAATAAAAACCTCTCCTAAAATCCACTTGTCTAATTTTTAGACTAAGAATCTGCCACGTGGCATTATAAGAAGCAATTAACAAAAAACTTTCCCGCCCAAGTTGTTTTGCAGCTTTTACCGCTTAAAACTTTTTCACTTCAATTCAAACCGCTTAAAACTTTTTCAGCTCAATTCTTTAATTCAATCAATCACTGAAAATCAGTAATCTATATTAAAATCTTTAATTATATCTTGCCTAAAATCTCGGTCCCATGATTCTAAATTTGATTTCAAAATACCTAACTCCCTTTGGTTGTAAATCAATAGAACCCATCTTCTCGGCTTATCCATCTCAACTTTGAATGTTTAGGGGTGTCATTGTAAACCCTAGGGCTTAAGGAGACGTGTCTAACTTGCAAATGGAGGAGCCAAGATGGGATCGGGAAACTTTCGAAGTGACAACGAACTTGTCAATAAAATACAATTGACACTATGATAACAATAACATGTTTTTATTTAATTAATTCCATAAGATTGGTCGATTTTGTTGTAGTTTGGTTTTCAATTTACTGTGCAGGTATCTTCTATTTTCTTCATTCCACTGATATAGACAAAAAGGAAAAGACATCTCCTTCGCTATTTCGGAATTCATCCCAGAGATCGTTATGTACCCTTCCATAGTCTTAATTCTGTTTTCCATAATACTCAAGGAGTTCAAAAGGGAGCGAGAGGGGGTTGATTTTCCCTTGAATTCTAGGATTATGGCGCTAAAATATTTGCAACTTTGTCAATTGGATCAAATTCGGTCCACAATTCAGTCATTTGTTGATGATTTTGATGGGAAATATTTAGTACAGATCATCAATTTGGTGAAAGAGAATAAGGGATCCCATTTATACTTATGAGTTTAGTAGAAAACTCATTTGCACTTTACACGCTCGATGAAATGCCTCAATGATGCATACTAATTATTTTTTCACCAAATATAGCATTATTGCCCAACATCAACTATTTTCGTAATGGGTCTTTACAGTAAAAAACTGAATTTTTAGCAATCACATTTTATTTATTGGCCAATTAAGAAAAACAAAGAAATTGTTTATCTAGGCTTAATGGTAAATTTGTCGAACATGATGTTGTGTCAAGTTATGAAACATTAAAGCTTGCAAAGGGACTCAATGTTGGTTTACTTGAGGTATAGTATTTAATACATGTCTTAATAATTTGTTCATTTTTTAATATTTTGGTTATTATATATTTATATATCTTTTTGTAAGTTCAACCAGATGCTAATCCATCTGTTTGCAATCTCACAGTCTATAACATGGAATTGAATTTATGGAATTGAATTTAAGAAAACCAAATGAGAAAGAACAAACAATAAAGAAAATAAGTGATTCCCCTCTATTAAACATAAACATTATCAAAATATGTTGTTTTGTAGCTTTTATTTTAAATTATATATGTTTTTATTTTCTGAATTTTGTGTCTGACTTGGTTTTGCATAACATAGTTGTCTAATTTGCCTATTACCTAATATTCCACTTATTTCATCACTTCTTCCGTACTCAGCTGGAATATGTTATATGTTTTTGGATTGCATGTTTTATGTTGTTTTATACACATGACGTTTCTTATGTATCTTTGTATTGCATGTCAACTATTTGATGCAATATAAAAAAACATGCCAAGTCTTTTCAATATAATTTTCCAAAACTTTGCGACACAAACATAAACTAAGTAAATTGTTTAGTTTAGTAATACCCAATTTTTAACAATGGTAATCCAATGGTAAACTAGGACATCGGCAATTCATGTGAAGTAAAAAATAAAAGGGTTATTGCTTATCCATTTTACCATGGATTAAGATTACCCACATATGTTACCTTTTATATTGCTTCAGTGACTTCCTTCTTCATTTTATGCATCAAAAAGTGCTATTATTTTAGATAATATCTTTCTTTACTACATTTTTCATATAGGATTAGAATAGTACTAAAAATTTCCAACCTCTACAAAGCCGGTGGTAAAATAATAGTTACATTGTTAAAAAATTATTAATAAAAATAGATTTAATTTACCTTTCCTAACCTTTTGCATTATTAATGTTAGGTCGTAGATGTTCCTAAGCTTAAGATATGCATTTTATCCTTTTCTTATATCCACTTCCCTTGCATTCTTATGTGTAAAAATTACAATAATAATAAATTGCTTATTTTAAGTTTCATTTGTATTGAATTTATAAAAAAAATAAACCAATCAATTTTGTTTATTTTCTTTTGTTTTCTTTAGTGGCAGCATCAAATTTTGGTGATTTCTTTTACGCTAACAGGTACAATATTGTAGTAATAGAAAACATAGTTATGGTTATACTAATTTTCTAATGATTGTTTCTTGAAATTGGTTTCTTTTTCTACAAACTTATTCTTTTAAACAGAACAAAATTTACATTTTTAGTTAATTCTAAGTCTTTTAAATGAATGTGCCAATTGTTTTTCAACTATTTGCAACCCATTAGTTTGTTTAGTATATCATCCTACTTTCATGTCTTCATGTTACCATTATGCTTCCAAAAAATACAATCCCTTTATAGAAAAAAATGAAAGTAAGATGCTATAATACCTTAATAATTGAAAGTGATTGCTTTATATTTCTTCCCCGTGGTGTCCACGGGTTATAACCTAGTTGCTCTATATATAATGATATAGGTTGTACTCTGTTTTTTGGGTCAATCAAAGCAATTCATTCCGATTCTATAGATGTAATAGAATGTTACAATTTTCATTCTTTTCAAAAACATTTACGAAGCATATGGTCCCGGTTTTTTCACAATACCTCTATTAAAAAGTAAAAAAACTTGTTTACACCTTCATTTTTATATAATATGAAAGGTACTCTAATTTCATAAAACTGTCATTTTTTTTAGTTTTCTTTGGTCAATCAAATCTATCGTTCACAAATATCTTATTATAACTTTATATCCAATATCCAATGTTTTTTTTTTTTTTTTTTTCTTTTCAAAACCCATATAAGAACACTTCCTAGAAAACAAATCAAAAAGTAAAGCAAAGTAAGAGAAGGGGAAAAAGAAGAGAAAAATGGAAGAGGGTTTTGAAAGGGAGGAAGAGTCATCCCACATCGACTGCTGGATTGAAAAAGAAGATATGAGAGTCGTTACTTAAGGCAAGCAGCTGAGAGAAAGAAAGGCAAGCAGCCATGTGGTAAGCACAAAGCGAACTATTCTTTCGCCTTTTACTAAAGAATACCGTGTGCTTGCCATACACAGTGGCATACGCCTATTTTTGGAGAGTCTCTTCCTTCATTGGTGGGCTCCAACCAATTTTCAGTTTTATAATTTTGACCCGTTTTTTTACTTATTTCTTTATAAACCAAACCTGCCGAATACAACTACTATTTATTTAGTAATGAAAATCCTGAAATAATTAAAGAAATACGATTCAGCATCAGCAAAATTATCACATTTATAATAACAAAATTTTAATTAAATCAAATATATACATTTATAACACATATATGAATCTACATACTTAAAAAGGGAACTATAAACATACTAAAATCCCTTGAAGCTTAGGCCTTCTAGACCTTCTCCTTGTGCTCCAAACTTGAAGCTATAGCACTCCTGAGATACATGTTAAGGTGAGCTTTATGTTTTTAATTCACGATTATCTATCTTAATTTAGAAAATATCGCATTTCCCACAGCTGTAAACTGTGTTTTTCAGAAAACATGGTAATGACACATTGATACTGATTGCATACAAATTACTTAAACATGTACTATACCATAACACATTAATTCAAAACAAACATGCATTTCATAAAGATCATCATATATAAATGTACCATAAACAAATAACATGTTGAAAACATGTATGTATCCAAGTTAAAGTAAAAAGGATTTTCTTTTTGTATTTTAAACAAATTATGTAAATATTACCCTCTTTTCTAAGATGCATATCTGTCTTGACATACAATTTAGTTATGTTTTAGATACATGATAAAAAAAACTAAAATATTTGTTAAAAAGACAAAGTTGAGAAACATATCTATTAGACTATAACAGTAAATCTCACAAACATCTTGTAACGATTGCTTTAAAGTATATAAGTAGCTTTATAAAAAATGACATCAAGAAAATATTTTCAACATAGTTTGCAACAAAGTTGTAATGTAATATGATGAGATATTGTACCTTGGTTTCTCCTTGTGTTACGAAGTGGCCTTACCCATCTATCCTTCCTCTTTATGAACCAATCACTATACCTTGTATTCAAAAAGTTCCCATTAACAACCCCAACAACCAACCCACTTCCAATTCCACAAAAAATAACGATCCAATCAATTCTTTCGCTCGGGAGGAGAGACTCGGATGCATTGCTTGTTGGTGGAAATCTTGACAACTTTAAACCCTCACATTCCTTCGATAAAGGTTTCCCACATAACCCATGATTCCCCTCATATGAGTTGTTCTCAAATGTATCAAATTGTTGCCCTAGGGGAATGTGCCCATCAAGATGGTTGAATGACACGTTGAAAATAGAAAGGAAATTGAGTTGCGCCAACAGTTGAGGAATTTCTCCAGATAGCTCGTTTCTAGAGAGATCCAAAGATTCAAGATTCTTTAGGTAACCAAAGGATGCCAAGACACGTCCGGTAAAATGGTTGTTGGAAAGATTGAGTGCTTCAAGCCCTATGAGTTCTTTGAGTGATAGCGGGATTTCTCCTTCAAAATGGTTACAAGAGAGATCAATAGCCGTATATATGGTTAAAATCTTTTTGTATTCCGTTTTGACACCTTTGTGTATTATTGTCATCGTGTATGGCATACTTGAATTGAAGTATTTGAAGGACATATCTGATTTCATAACAGATGATTCACCATCATAAACCGATGTCATGGCATTGCAGTTTTGGAAATAATTTCCATGCAATTGGCCACGAAAACCATTGTGAGAGAGGTCTATGATCCGCAACTTAGGGAATTGTGAGCAAACAGTACTCGTTGGACCTTGAATTGAACCATAAAATTTGTTGGATCTTAAAATGAGAACTTGTAGCTTGGCAAGAGTTCCCAGCCAAGAAGGAAAGACGTCTTCAAAAGTGTTATCTCCAAGAGAGAGAACCTCTAAATTAGTACAATTCGTCAATGATCTTGGAATCTGACCCATAAATCGGTTTTCGCTCAAATCAATATTTTTTAGCTGGCTGCCATGCATAAACAAATCCATCATCATGCCATGAAAGTTATTTTGCCTTAGATCTAAACTCAACAATGAATTGCTTAAGGCACCAAAACACGGAGGAAGAGTGCCACTCATGTTGTTAGAAGACAAATCCAACACTTTGAGAGATTTCACTTCACATATCGATGGTGGTATTTCTCCAGTTAGATTGTTATTTGAGGATGAATAAACAACTGTGGTTTGTGGTGGAATTGGTAGCTGCCCTCGGATCTGATTATTCTTGATGGAAAATCCTTGTAAACGTCTCCATGGGAGAATTTGAGGATGCCGATGAAACCCAGTGATGGAGTTGTTGGAAAGGTCAATCACTTGTAATGATTCTTTGCTGTTGTTCCAGATCCACACGGGTACCATGTCATTAATTTTGTTGTTGTCGAGAAATAAGACTTCCAACGTATTTTGGAATTGCAAAAAGGTAGGGAATTCCTTCAAGTTACATGTCGATAGTGCTAGGAGTTTAAGTTTTGGTAAGGTCTTATTGGTGTAGTTGTTGATGGACGTTAATGATATCCTATTGTAACCTAACCCAAGAGTCTCGAGTTTGTTGAGTTGTAGGAACATGTCTAAGTCTACACTCCCACTGAAACTATTCGAACCTAGGTGAAGATATTGAAGGGTTTTCAAGTTGGAAAATGAGCTTAAAATTGGTCCTTGCAACTGATTTTGTTGAAGGTCTAACGTTGTTAGTTGGGTGAGGTTGAAGAGCCATGATGGAATATGACCAGTAAGAGAATTTTTTCCCATTGCAAGAACACTAAGTTTTGTTAGGTTTGCAAGATGGGGTGTGATTTCACTGGTTATGTCTGTATTGTATACATACAGACTACTAAGTTTAGTCATCTTGTTAAGCCAATTGGGCAAATGTCCCTTCTCGAATTTGCTACCTGTAAGTTCCAAAGACTTGAGTTTGGAAAGACTTACCAACGAAGGAATAAATCCTGTGAACTTATTGTAACCAAGACCCAAGAGAGTGAGTTGTGTCAAGTTAGATAGTGAACTTGGAATCCCCCCTGAGAAAGAGCATTTAGTAAGGCGCAAGTAGGTTAAATGGTGTAGATTGCTTATGGATTCAGGTACAATCCCAAAGAAACCTGTTTCCCTTACATTTATATATTCAAGTAAACTGTTGTTATGGAATTCAGGAAAGGAACCAGTGAGGTTGTTATTGTATGCCACATCAAGAATTTTCAACTTTGGTAGTTGAAATATAGTGACAGGGAATTCATTCGAAAGCCAACAATTGGATAACCTTATTGAGCTCAAAGAAGAAAAGTTGGACAAGAAATGAGGTACAGAAGAACTAATGTCAACCCCTGAGAGATGGATTTCTTCGAGTGCTGTTAAGTTTTGTAGTAGGTTCTTGAGGCTAGGATTGTGAAGCTTTAGTGGATTCCCTGATAGATCTAAAGAAGACAAGTGTGTCAACTTTGCGATCTCATTTGGGATTTGGCCACTAAAACCAGAATGAGAGAGATTGAGGCTTTTTAACTGTTTTAGACGAGTAATCTCATGTGGGATTTGAGATTCATCAAAGTAGTTCATAGCAAGGTTGAGGCTTTGAAGATGAACAAGGCTGAAGAGGGTGTTGGTAGAGTTGATATGCCCACAAAGAAAGCTTTCACTCAAGTCAAGGCTGACTACATGGCCATAAACATGGTTGTTGCTGCACTCCACCCCATGCCATGAACAACAATCAAAACGAGCATCTGATGCATTGCTTGTGGTCTTCCAAGAGTTAAACGTTTGAAACCAACTAGCAACACAAGCCACATCACCTTGATGAATTATGCTTTGCTTAAACTGAAACAAGGCTGAACATTCCTCTTCATGGCTTAGTGAAGAAGAACGAGTCATGCATGTGATAGTGACCAACAAGTATACAAGGGAGCTGGTTAGCAACAAGTTGAAGTGATTCATGTATGGAGCCATGAAAAAGGTTTAGTTTCTGTGTACTTCTTTAAATAGACGAGTACTATATGCTACGTAGCAATAAAAATATTAAGAAATTCACACTCTAGAGAGATGAAGAACGAGTCATAACTGTGTAACTAATCATATATTTTATGTTTTAGGTAGATGAAGAATAAACTTATAAAGTCAAAAGAAAAAAAGTCAACTGAAATTTTTTTTTATGTTTCCGTTTATTATAACAGCATATTATAACTTTAAAGTATTTTTATTTGGTTCTTGTTATATTAGCTTACTTGAATACAAATTTTCTATTATAGCAATTGGTGGCTAATTTTAGTAGTTTCTTATATAGATAATGACATGAAATAATAACTTAAGCAAATTTAAGATTTGTTTAACCTACATAGCTTAGACTTTTTTGAAGTGGTTTTACATTCAAACTTCATTTTTGTTATATTTAATTGAAACAGAGTAAACCGTAACATGTTTATGTTTTTGACTAATAACATGACAACATATTTAAACATTTTCTTCAATAATAACCAAATTTCAGTTTTGTTTTACTACCTTAAAAGAATTTTAACTTACGCCACTAAAGTTTAATATTTTTAATGTTGTGAAAATTTCTTCCATTTATGAAAAAAAGTGATTCGTACATAACAATTTTTATCAGTAAAAAATCATGTTTATCAGAGTTGTACAATACAATATTTTAAAACACAAATTATTGTGTATCGAGAAATTTTGTTGTATACGAATCATTCCCTTTATGAAAGTTTGTAGCATAGTCTAAAGCAATAAAATGAAGTTTAATAAATAAAATGTAAAAGATTTTTTTTTTCATGCATTGAAAATATTTGGCTTTCAATGAAGGATTATCTATGAGTTAACCTAACTTAACTAAGGAAAGATAATTACTTGTGGACTAAGTAAATAATAAGATAACCCTAATAATTCAAATTCAATATCAACACTACCCTTCAAGTTGGATTGTGAAGATCATGAACACCCAATTTATTGTATATAAACTTCAAACGTTTAGTTGTAAGAGCCTTAGGGGACGGAATCATTTCCGTCGAACTTGCTGAAGTCGCTGAACCCAAGGTATAGGGAGTTGTGATCTTGTTGAACCTGCCTAAGGACCCCTTACAACATGTCTTTCCATTTTTCTTCTTTGCTTCCAACCTCCAACGGCTTCTTGAACCTGCAACACCTCTCTCTTATCTTTTGCTCTCCTCCCACCATTCCCTCTACTCATCTCTGAACCCACGCAACCCCTCCATTTTCACCCCATTACGATTCCTCCATTCCTTAGTAAAGATGTCGAAAGGTGAAACTCATACCGTATGGGACAAAGCTTTATTCCAGTACTATTCACAAACTCAAAATGAAATAACAACCTATTTCGATATGTTTTGTTATTTTCATGATAAACTGGGTTTACTGCAACGTGCCGAGTAGCTTCCTTGTCGCACATCAATGACGTGACACTAGCACTAAGAGAATCCACACTTGTGTCGAAGACTTCTATGTCGACGACAACAATTGTCTCTACAACTTAGGCTATACTAACGACATGTCGTTTATATATGTTTTGAATAATTGTTCTGACCAGGGTATCTATGTCGACGAAATGTTGTCGCCTTAACTTAGGTGGAAACGAATAAATTTTATGCGGTTTTCTGAAAAATTATTTCGACGATATGTTGTCGGTATAAGTTACGAAATATAATTTCTATTTATTTATAGTTCATGTTGCAAAAAAAAAAAAAAAAAAAAAAAAACGGTGTCGTTTGTAAAAGAGCTATCCCGACGATATGTTGTCGGTATAAAGGGCTTGTGATCCATGTATACTCTATATCGACGACTTTTCGTTGGTATAAAGGTCTTTTTTTCTTTATGAGAGGGTATAAACGACATCGTTTTCGTTATCCCTATACCGACATTTTGTCGTTGGCATAGGGTTCCAATGACTTTGGTATCCCTAGTTCGTCACTCACAACGTCACACAAAGATAATCCAACCCAAAACTTTTTGAATCCATGATCCCTTCTCCGACGTGATTTTACCGGTGTTTCACCACCTTTCACCGATATTTTGCTTCATTTGTTAAACTTTTGTTGATTTCACTGATTTTATGTGTGATTTTGAGTTTTTTTGTGTTTCAATTTCTAGAAATACGAACACCACAATCTCAAACAACGTACAACTTGTCTCTAGTCACCACTAAAGGACAATCGTTAAGACCCAAAACGTCCTTATTTCTCTTGTGTTTCTAATTATGGTTGCGATTTTGAGTGATTTGCGTTTTTTGTTTCGCTTTTATGATTTGGTGCTATTTTTCATTGAGTAAACCACCATAGACATTGGACTTTAGATTTTGGGTGGGTATTCCTATGGCATTTCATAGTGATGCGTTTTTCCGGTTTTGGGGGTTCTTTCTTGTTTTTTCTGGTTTTTCTTAGACAAAATTTCAAAAATGGTCCCTGTGGTTTCATAAAATATGAAGTTTGGTCTCTAATTTACACAAACCTCACGGATCGTCCTGTGGTTTCAAAACTTTTAATATTTAGTCATTCTACCTAACTCTATCAACTTTCTACTGTTAAATGAGAGGTATTTTCGTCATTTCAATACTCAAGGACCATTTTTGAGGTTTTCTATTTTTTTAAATGAAAAACATGAAATTTAAAGGGGTCCCGCCCTCTCTCTCATATGAAATCATCGCATGAACAATTTTTGACTGAAAAAGTCAGAATTGATATTCGATTTAATGGAAATCAATCTATCGTCCATCATCGGTATTGGTATCTGATGGAGATGATGAAGTCTTCACCAGCTCCACCGGAGATACATTTCTACCACACCTCGCCATCTACACCATACAAGTCCACCACCGCTATCATGATTGTGAATCGAACATCATTGTTAGCATCCCGATTGAGATAATGTCTTTGCAAATGATGTTGGGCTTTCTTTACCAAATAATAGCTGAAGATGATTAAATCAATCCCTTGAAGCAAAAACACAAACTACATCCCAAACGTTCATTGTTATTCTCTGATAAACAATCATAGGTGTAACATATTTGATTTTGATTTATTTCCCTCGTTCTTATCTCAATAAACAACTTGCAACCACGAAAGAGATCCAAAAATCGATCTAGGTTAAATGCATCTTGAAATTTGTAGAAGAAATAGATGCTTGTAAATTGTACCCCATAAGTAGAAACAATTTCCATAAATTTAAAACATTAGACAAAGGGTTTCAAGGGTACAAGCAAAGAAATCCAAAACATCATAAAATTCAGAAAATTCGGTCAAGTCCCAATCTTTTCTTAACAATTACCAACAATCATTGTTCGTAAACATGGAATCCAAGAACACTCAAATTGCCACATGATGAAGATTAAAAGCTAGTGTTGTGTGTGTGAGAGAGATTTAAGTTGTATGTATAGTTGAGAAGGAGGAGCAAAGCTGTTCAGCAGCAAGTTGGGGTGTTCGACTGTTGATGCTTGACAGGAAGAACAAGGAAGATAGGGAGTCAGTTTTCCGGTGGCTCCCCTTTTTGTTGTTAAGCCTTGTCGTCAAAGTTGTGGCTTCGATAGATGCATGGACAGATCAAGAAACAACAGGGTGTTTTTGAATCTATTATTAACGAGAAGATGCAAAAGAAAAGAGGTTGTCGCTCTTGGTTTTCACCAGAAAATCACACACTTCGGTGTTGTGTTCTTGCCAGAAAACAAAGAAGGAAGGAGTATAGAAGCAACAACAATATTTATGGGTGTCCGTGGGGTTGCTAAATGACGTGAGGGTGCTAAGAATTGATGATATTCATCGGTTCTTCCTTCCCTTTCTTCACGAGAGAGAGAGACCCCTTAAAAAAAAAATTCATTTTAAAAAAAGAAAAATAGAAATCTCATAAATGGTCCTCAGTTATTGAAATGATGAAAATACCTCTCACTTAACAATTCATTTGTCTAAAAATAAAATACACTTACCAATTTAGCCCCTTCATTTACCATAAAATGAAACTCCAACTTTCGTTTTTCTTCAAAAGCATGTTCTTTTGGTCTAACTAAATTAATGTTTCACTAAATATCTTATTCTAATTATAATATCTAGTAATTACTTTGAAAACCATACATGAACACTTAAAAAGAAAATAAAAAAACCAAACCAAAGTAAGAGAAGGAAAAAAAGAAGAGAAGGGTGGAAGAAGTGTTTGAAAAAGAAGGATGTAGGTTTGGATGGTCATCCCACATAGGCTGCTGGAATGAAAGAGAATGTGTGAGAGTCATTACTTAAACCAAGCAGCTGAAAGATGTAGAGGCACGCAGCCATGTGTTAAGCACAAAGCGAACTATTCTTTCGCCTTTTACTAAAGAATACCGTGTGCTTGCCATATTCAGTGGCATACGCTTATTTTTGGAGAGTTCCTTCCTTCATTGGTGGGCTCCAACCAATTTTTGCAGTTCAAAATTCGACTCAAACTCACTGACTACTCTGGTCTACACTAATAATGCAATTAGCCTTATCTTTGAAAAAAAGTAAGTTAATTAACTAAATTTGCCTTTTGTCGTGTTGATATATATCAAGGATTCTAATTGTATTGGACAACTTTTTTTACCTTTTTACAACAATGAGTCTATTTCAAAATTACCTTATGTTCTGAATCAGTTGCATTACTTTCAAGGATTCATTCCATAATGTAGAGAATAACGAAACAAAGCAATACAGTACTTGCTTATTCATTATACAATCACACAAAATCGAACTATTAGGCTTCAAGTAAACAAATCGAATCCTATTATGATTCGACTTTTTTGTGTATAGAATCAATCCTGAAACTCAGAAGATATACATGCATTAATACGTTATTTTTTAAGAAATCTAAATACCAATGCATGTCTTAGAAATTAGAATCCACTTGAAATGTTTTAG